TCTTTCGACTCCAGAATAATCCGGAAAATCGTGTGTGATCGAGATGACCTCTCATTCATGCGAGTAGCTGCAACTCGTCTGATCTTATTGCCCTGCATCATGTTCTCCATAACTTTATCAACATTGTCTACGACAGCTTCCCTTGCATCAAGCAGCACATTTCCTTTGATATCTTCTCTTATAGTTAAACCTGATTGCTCTTATCCAGGAGGTCATTGATCTTTTCATTGTAGATTTCAATATAACTGCATCTAATCAAGTACCTCTTATCAACCTGGTCTGCCACATGCTGGAATATTGATTGGATACTAATTGGAAAAGCCCAGGATCTGTTTTATTGCCCAAAATGGTGTGTGTTTTGCCAGAAGATGTTTGGCCATATGCAAATATTGTGGCACTGAAACCTTCCATGAAGGAATCGACTAAAGGTTTTACTACAGATCCATATACATCTGAATTTGTACATTCCTGCTTAAATACATGGTCGAATATATAAACCTCTCCATGGCGACTACTTTCATCGGCTTCCCATATGCAGTTTACTCTTACGTTCCAAAGACGCTCTAGACCATCGGCTACTTCGCGGTGGATCATTGGTCTGATCTTGTGGCTACTTTAATATTGTCGGAAGTCATTTTGGAAGCTTGAACTGAAATTTAATTAGAACTAGGGCTATTTCACGGGTTATAAAGAGGGGCACTTTTCATAATCCAGATTTCGTTTTGGCATTCCAGTTCAGCCATTTGATCCTGAAGCTCTTTTATAGTAGAATCATTATGGCATCGTATATCTGAGATTTTAAATGAGTGGTTGACCTCACGTTGGTTACTCTCGTCCATCAGACTCTTTACGTCATTTCTCAGTTTAGATTCAAGTTTTTTAGGAAGCCAATTTCATCTTGCAGTTCAGCAATGTGTGACATCGTTACATCAGTTTGTGTAGCAGCACTTAAAGAATCTTGCATATCTTCGTACTCAGCGTCAAGCATAGCTTCTAAGTCTGCAACCTTCTTTTTTGACTCATATTTTGAGCTTCAAGAGATGGTTTAGGGCTCTCTGATCTTCCTAGGTTCTTCAGTTGAGTACGCAGCATCTCTATTTCTGACTCGTATGTTTTTAGTCTTTTTATTATTTTTTCCAGAAAATCGAGTCTGTATTGCAGGTCGATGAAATTCTTGCGCTTTTTGAGAATTTTTTTGAACTCTTTCTATTTCTTCGTTGTACGCATCCGTTACTTGGCGGAGTTCCTGACTGTAACGATCGATTTTAGAATTGGCTTCTGTGAGCTGTTTCTTCAGGTCCAAAATCTCCAGCTGATTATCTAGTTTAGTGAATTCTCTAAGCTCATTGAAAGATTCTTCCAGTTCTTTGCGTTGTCTTTTAAGTACACTTGCACGTCTTCAGCTATCACAGATTCTGCTTCGGCTAGTGCCTCCTCATATGTCTCTTCTTGAATAGGCCTCATTTCACGTCCGGATGATTCTTCTTTGGGTGGATAATTTTTCAATGGCATATACCCTAGGGATGCTTTTTTAGGTGATACGTTGCCATAGTGTCCAAAAGTATGACGTCTTAATGTTTTTTTCGGTGTTGATGCCGAGGCTCCCATTTGAAAGCGCCCGACAATAGATACTTCCGTTTTTAGTCTTTCTATCTCGAGCAGATACTCTTGTTTGCTTTTATCCATCTCTTTTAGCTTAATTGCCTGCTTTTTGAGCCGAGTTTCGAGATCGCGAGTCAAGTTCTGATATCCTTGAAGTGTCTCTTCTGTAGCTGACAAGATGTTTACTTTCGTTTTATTTTTGACAGTTTTGGTGCTTTGGGCGAATTCTGGTGTAGATCTAGTCTCCTCCTCTGCAGCTAAAGTAACATTCCCGATAATCAATGATTTGGCATTACCGCCAAGAGCCTGTGAGAGCAGTCTAGTCAATTTCGAATCGCGATAACTGATAAACTCCTTCCCCTCGCTTAGTTGCCTTATCACATTTCCTAATACTGACAAAGATTTGTTTATGTTAGCCCCCTCTTTAAGACGCTCACCAGCAGCTTTCGTCAGAGAAACTCTCTCAGAACCAGCTAAGTCCATTAAGTTAAGGTAGCTTATATGTACAGGTCCATCTTTCTGATTGGCATCTTTCGACTCCAGAATAATCCGGAAAATCGTGTGTGATCGAGATGACCTCTCATTCATGCGAGTAGCTGCAACTCGTCTGATCTTATTGCCCTGCATCATGTTCTCCATAACTTATCAACATTGTCTACGACAGCTTCCCTTGCATCAAGCAGCACATTTCCTTTGATATCTTCTCATAGTTAAACCCTGATTGCTCTTATCCAGGAGGTCATTGATCTTTTCATTGACGTATAACTGCATCTAATCAAGTACCTCTTATCAACCTGGTCTGCCACATGCTGGAATAACTGATTGGATACTAATTGGAAAAGCCCAGGATCTGTTTATTGCCCAAAATGGTGTGTGTTTTGCCAGAAGATGTTTGGCCATATGCAAATATTGTGGCATTGAAACCTTCCATGAAGGAATCGACTAAAGGTTTTACTACAGATCCATATACATCTGAATTTGTACATTCCTGATTAAATACATGGTCGAATATAAACCTCTCCATGGCGACTACTTTCATCGGCTTCCCATATGCAGTTTACTCTTACGTTCCAAAGACGCTCTAGACCATCGGCTACTTCGCGGTGGATCATTGGTCTGATCTGTGTGGCTACTTTAATATTGTTGGAAGTCATTTTGGAAGCTTGAACTGAAATTTAATTAGAACTAGGGCTATTTCACGGGTTATAAAGAGGGGCAGATGTATCAGGTTGATACATTCTTTTTTTCCTCCTTTCCAGTATAGAAGATTTTTTTCTCTTGTAGGCTATGAATGCGGTCCGATAGTTTAGTAGAGCTACATTTACAGGGTGACTCAAAATCAAAGAAGAAACAGAATTGTTAAATTTCATATAGACTGTTATTGTTATTACAAAAAGAAGTTGAAGCAGCAGCAAATTCTCACAAATCTATAGATACATCACTTTCAGCACCCGATTTTTCAACTTGAAAAATGCAGCTCGGTGAAGAATCACAAGGTAACTGTTGTCTATTCAGACAATACTCTTCTAAAAGCAACGCGAAGTTACCTAGTGCCTTACATGAATCGCCTTCATAATTCTTCATTATTGTCAATGGAAAACTGAAATTGTTGATTATTACAGTTTTTAATGCTTCAAATAAACAGATGGTGTTCGTGTTGGAAATCCCACGTCTAATCTCGCAAAACAGGTTATCCACCGGATCTTACTATCAACATCTGAAATGCCATTACTGTTTTTAGCCATGTGTACAACAGGTTTGTACGCATAAGACACTCTTACATGAAAACTGTTTATTGTCTAAAAACGAAAATACCCCATTGAAGATGAGTAATGCAATAAATATAATCCTCGTAACTTGAACTGTAATATGAACATAAAAAACTAACAAAATGGGCCATTTAACAACATATTTGGTGTTGATATTCTACAACAAAAACAAATACTTTCTCGTATAAGGAAACATACAATAATTAACATTTATCACTTTTCACGAAACAATGTAAGTGCGCTGTGACTTTACATACTTATTACAGATTGTAGAACATTTTTTCATTGTGTATTGTCATGTAACACCTACGTCGTTTTTTTTCTTTAACAACTGCATCAGGATCGAGAACTCTGGGCTGAGAAGTAGACGGCTTACTTTATTCGTCGTTGGTAATTTAGGATTCTTTGCAGGGGGAACAATAAAATTTCGTCGCCTAATGGAACTTTCAGTCCCAGACTGAAAAAAAAAGGAATTTACAGAAGCTGGTTGGATACCAAATAGCACAAGGCCATCTTCTCGTTCTCTAACCAGTATTGTAATTTACACACTTCCGATCTAATGCATTACCCCCCGCCTTCATAGTGTTATAAAAATAATATAGGATCTTATCAGGTTTCTTTGATTCCTCTACTATTTTGTTATCATGCTGCATAGATTGCTATACGAGAACATGTGTATTTGGTTTTGGAAGATACTACTCTAAGGCTGTACAACATAAACTTAGAAGTACCTGGCTGTGTTTCCTTCTTATTTGGAACTACATGTTGGGGTACTTGTTACTTATTTTTACGCTTCCTGCCGACATAGGTCAGTTGGTTGATGCGCAATTCTACATGTAATTCTACTGACGTGAACCAGTCATCTGCTGTGATATTTCTGTTCGTATAGACGAAAGCATTGAGCAGGTAGTGGTGAGTCTTTGCATCATCAGTCCATACTTATTCGGTTTAGTTTTCTTGTAGGCACAGGAAGGACATCGGCCCACGAGCATCTCGTATTTTGTAGGGGACTCACCCGAAATATAACAATTTCGACAGTTCTCTATGAGTGTCTCGAAAATTTCACGTATTTGGAGAAATTTATCGGCATTTCTCGAGTCACAGGGTTATTATTTTCCAAATTGGTTGCCACGGACTTTAGTTCAGGTAAATGCGTAATAATCGACCAGTTTTCATTGTAGATTTCAATATAACAGCATCTAATCAAGTACCTCTTATCAACCTGGTCTGCCACATGCTGGAATAACTGATTGGATACTAATTGGAAAAGCCCAGGATCTGTTTTATTGCCCAAAATGGTGTGTGTTTTGCCTGCTTAAATACATGGTCGAATATATAAACCTCTCCATGGCGACTACTTTCATCGGCTTCCCATATGCAGTTTACTCTTACGTTCCAAAGACGCTCTAGACCATCGGCTACTTCGCGGTGGATCATTGGTCTGATCTTTGTGGCTACTTTAATATTGCCGGAAGTCATTTAGGAAGCTTGAACTGAAATTTAATTAGAACTAGGGCTATTTCACGGGTTATAAAGAGGGGCACTTTTCATAATCCAGATTTCGTTTTGGCATTCCAGTTCAGCCATTTGATCCTGAAGCTCTTTTATAGTAGAATCATTATGGCATCGTATATCTGAGATTTTAAATGAGTGGTTGACCTCACGTTGGTTACTCTCGTCCATCAGACTCTTTACGTCATTTCTCAGTTTAGATTCAAGTTCTTTTAGGAAGCCAATTTCATCTTGCAGTTCAGCAATGTGTGACATCGTTACATCAGTTTGTGTAGCAGCACTTAAAGAATCTTGCATATCTTCGTACTCAGCGTCAAGCATAGCTTCTAAGTCTGCAACCTTCTTTTTTGACTCAATATTTTGAGCTTCAAGAGATGGTTTAGGGCTCTCTGATCTTCCTAGGTTCTTCAGTTGAGTACGCAGCATCTCTATTTCTGACTCGTATGTTTTTAGTCTTTTTATTATTTTTTTCCAGAAAATCGAGTCTGTATTGCAAGTCGATGAAATTCTTGCGCTTTTTGAGAATTTTTTTGAACTCTTTCTATTTCTTCGTTGTACGCATCCGTTACTTGGCGGAGTTCCTGACTGTAACGATCGATTTTAGAATTGGCTTCTGTGAGCTGTTTCTTCAGGTCCAAAATCTCCAGCTGATTATCTAGTTTAGTGAATTCTATAAGCTCATTGAAAGATTCTTCCAGTTCTTTGCGTTGTCTTTTAAGTACACTTGCACGTCTTCAGCTATCACAGATTCTGCTTCGGCTAGTGCCTCCTCATATGTCTCTTCTTGAATAGGCCTCATTTCACGTCCGGATGATTCTTCTTTGGGTGGATAATTTTTCAATGGCATATACCCTAGGGATGCTTTTTTAGGTGATACGTTGCCATAGTGTCCAAAAGTATGACGTCTTAATGTTTTTTTCGGTGTTGATGCCGAGGCTCCCATTTGAAAGCGCCCGACAATAGATACTTCCGTTTTTAGTCTTTCTATCTCGAGCAGATACTCTTGTTTGCTTTTATCCATCTCTTTTAGCTTAATTGCCTGCTTTTTGAGCCGAGTTTCGAGATCGCGAGTCAAGTTCTGATATCCTTGAAGTGTCTCTTCTGTAGCTGACAAGATGTTTACTTTCGTTTTATTTTTGACAGTTTTAATGCTTTGGGCGAATTCTGGTGTAGATCTAGTCTCCTCCTCTGCAGCTAAAGTAACATTCCCGATAATCAATGATTTGGCATTACCGCCAAGAGCCTGTGAGAGCAGTCTAGTCAATTTCGAATCGCGATAACTGATAAACTCCTTCCCCTCGCTTAGTTGCCTTATCACATTTCCTAATACTGACAAAGATTTGTTTATGTTAGCCCCCTCTTTAAGACGCTCACCAGCAGCTTTCGTCAGAGAAACTCTCTCAGAACCAGCTAAGTCCATTAAGTTAAGGTAGCTTATATGTACAGGTCCATCTTTCTGATTAGCATCTTTCGACTCCAGAATAATCCGGAAAATCGTGTGTGATCGAGATGACCTCTCATTCATGCGAGTAGCTGCAACTCGTCTGATCTTATTGCCCTGCATCATGTTCTCCATAACTTTATCAACATTGTCTACGACAGCTTCCCTTGCATCAAGCAGCACATTTCCTTTGATATCTTCTCTTATAGTTAAACCCTGATTGCTCTTATCCAGGAGGTCATTGATCTTTTCATTGTAGATTTCAATATAACAGCATCTAATCAAGTACCTCTTATCAACCTGGTCTGCCACATGCTGGAATAACTGATTGGATACTAATTGGAAAAGCCCAGGATCTGTTTTATTGCCCAAAATGGTGTGTGTTTTGCCAGAAGATGTTTGGCCATATGCAAATATTGTGGCATTGAAACCTTCCATGAAGGAATCGACTAAAGGTTTTACTACAGATCCATATACATCTGAATTTGTACATTCCTGCTTAAATACATGGTCGAATATATAAACCTCTCCATGGCGACTACTTTCATCGGCTTCCCATATGCAGTTTACTCTTACGTTCCAAAGACGCTCTAGACCATCGGCTACTTCGCGGTGGATCATTGGTCTGATCTTTGTGGCTACTTTAATATTGCCGGAAGTCATTTAGGAAGCTTGAACTGAAATTTAATTAGAACTAGGGCTATTTCACGGGTTATAAAGAGGGGCACTTTTCATAATCCAGATTTCGTTTTGGCATTCCAGTTCAGCCATTTGGTCCTGAAGCTCTTTTATAGTAGAATCATTATGGCATCGTATATCTGAGATTTTAAATGAGTGGTTGACCTCACGTTGGTTACTCTCGTCCATCAGACTCTTTACGTCATTTCTCAGTTTAGATTCAAGTTCTTTTAGGAAGCCAATTTCATCTTGCAGTTCAGCAATGTGTGACATCGTTACATCAGTTTGTGTAGCAGCACTTAAAGAATCTTGCATATCTTCGTACTCAGCGTCAAGCATAGCTTCTAAGTCTGCAACCTTCTTTTTTGACTCAATATTTTGAGCTTCAAGAGATGGTTTAGGGCTCTCTGATCTTCCTAGGTTCTTCAGTTGAGTACGCAGCATCTCTATTTCTGACTCGTATGTTTTTAGCCTTTTTATTATTTTTTTCCAGAAAATCGAGTCTGTATTGCAAGTCGATGAAATTCTTGCGCTTTTGAGAATTTTTTTGAACTCTTTCTATTTCTTCGTTGTACGCATCCGTTACTTGGCGGAGTTCCTGACTGTAACGATCGAATTTAGAATTGGCTTCTGTGAGCTGTTTCTTCAGGTCCAAAATCTCCAGCTGATTATCTAGTTTAGTGAATTCTATAAGCTCATTGAAAGATTCTTCCAGTTCTTTGCGTTGTCTTTTAAGTACACTTGCACGTCTTCAGCTATCACAGATTCTGCTTCGGCTAGTGCCTCCTCATATGTCTCTTCTTGAATAGGCCTCATTTCACGTCCGGATGATTCTTCTTTGGGTGGATAATTTTTCAATGGCATATACCCTAGTGATGCTTTTTTAGGTGATACGTTGCCATAGTGTCCAAAAGTATGACGTCTTAATGTTTTTTTCGGTGTTGATGCCGAGGCTCCCATTTGAAAGCGCCCGACAATAGATACTTCCGTTTTTAGTCTTTCTATCTCGAGCAGATACTCTTGTTTGCTTTTATCCATCTCTTTTAGCTTAATTGCCTGCTTTTTGAGCCGAGTTTCGAGATCGCGAGTCAAGTTCTGATATCCTTGAAGTGTCTCTTCTGTAGCTGACAAGATGTTTACTTTCGTTTTATTTTTGACAGTTTTAGTGCTTTGGGCGAATTCTGGTGTAGATCTAGTCTCCTCCTCTGCAGCTAAAGTAACATTCCCGATAATCAATGATTTGGCATTACCGCCAAGAGCCTGTGAGAGCAGTCTAGTCAATTTCGAATCGCGATAACTGATAAACTCCTTCCCCTCGCTTAGTTGCCTTATCACATTTCCTAATACTGACAAAGATTTGTTTATGTTAGCCCCCTCTTTAAGACGCTCACCAGCAGCTTTCGTCAGAGAAACTCTCTCAGAACCAGCTAAGTCCATTAAGTTGAGGTAGCTTATATGTACAGGTCCATCTTTCTGATTGGCATCTTTCGACTCCAGAGTAATCCGGAAAATCGTGTGTGATCGAGATGACCTCTCATTCATGCGAGTAGCTGCAACTCGTCTGATCTTATTGCCCTGCATCATGTTCTCCATAACTTTATCAACATTGTCTACGACAGCTTCCCTTGCATCAAGCAGCACATTTCCTTTGATATCTTCTCATAGTTAAACCCTGATTGCTCTTATCCAGGAGGTCATTGATCTTTTCATTGTAGATTTCAATATAACTGCATCTAATCAAGTACCTCTTATCAACCTGGTCTGCCACATGCTGGAATAACTGATTGGATACTAATTGGAAAAGCCCAGGATCTGTTTTATTGCCCAAATGGTGTGTGTTTTGCCAGAAGATGTTTGGCCATATGCAAATATTGTGGCATTGAAACCTTCCATGAAGGAATCGACTAAAGGTTTTACTACAGATCCATATACATCTGAATTTGTACATTCCTGATTAAATACATGGTCGAATATATAAACCTCTCCATGGCGACTACTTTCATCGGCTTCCCATATGCAGTTTACTCTTACGTTCCAAAGACGCTCTAGACCATCGGCTACTTCGCGGTGGATCATTGGTCTGATCTTTGTGGCTACTTTAATATTGTTGGAAGTCATTTTGGAAGCTTGAACTGAAATTTAATTAGAACTAGGGCTATTTCACGGGTTATAAAGAGGGGCAGATGTATCAGGTTGATACATTCTTTTTTTCCTCCTTTCCAGTATAGAAGATTTTTTTCTCTTGTAGGCTATGAATGCGGTCCGATAGTTTAGTAGAGCTACATTTACAGGGTGACTCAAAATCAAAGAAGAAACAGAATTGTTAAATTTCATATAGACTGTTATTGTTATTACAAAAAGAAGTTGAAGCAGCAGCAAATTCTCACAAATCTATAGATCCATCACTTTCAGCACCCGATTTTTCAACTTGAAAAATGCAGCTCGGTGAAGAATCACAAGGTAACTGTTGTCTATTCAGACAATACTCTTCTAAAAGCAACGCGAAGTTACCTAGTGCCTTACATGAATCGCCTTCATAATTCTTCATTATTGTCAATGGAAAACTGAAATTGTTGATTATTACAGTTTTTAATGCTTCAAATAAACAGATGGTGTTCGTGTTGGAAATCCCACGTCTAATCTCGCAAAACAGGTTATCCACCGGATCTTACTATCAACATCTGAAATGCCATTACTGTTTTTTAGCCATGTGTACAACAGGTTTGTACGCATAAGACACTCTTACATGAAAACTGTTTATTGTCTAAAAACGAAAATACCCCATTGAAGATGAGTAATGCAATAAATATAATCCTCGAAACTTGAACTGTAATATGAACATAAAAAAACTAACAAAATGGGCCATTTAACAACATATTTGGTGTTGATATTCTACAACAAAAACAAATACTTTCTCGTATAAGGAAACATACAATAATTAACATTTATCACTTTTCACGAAACAATGTAAGTGCGCTGTGACTTTACATACTTATTACAGATTGTAGAACATTTTTTTTCATTGTGTATTGTCATGTAACACCTACGTCGTTTTTTTTCTTTAACAACTGCATCAGGATCGAGAACTCTGGGCTTACTTTATTCGTCGTTGGTAATTTAGGATTCTTTGCATGGCTGAACGAAGCTCCCTAGGAAGTCTTGGATCTGATAAACGTCCTCTCATACGAAGTTAAATTAGAGTTTGCCTCAGGGGAACAATAAAATTTCGTCGCCTAATGGAACTTTCAGTCCCAGACTGAAAAAAAAAGGAATTTACAGAAGCTGGTTGGATACCAAATAGCACAAGGCCATCTTCTCGTTCTCTAACCAGTATTGTAATTTACACACTTCCGATCTAATGCATTACCCCCCGCCTTCATAGTGTTATAAAATAATATAGGATCTTATCAGGTTTCTTTGATTCCTCTACTATTTTGTTATCATGCTGCATAGATTGCTATACGAGAACATGTGTATTTAGTTTTGGAAGATACTACTCTAAGGCTGTACAACATAAACTTAGAAGTACCTGGCTGTGTTTCCTTCTTATTTGGAACTACATGTTGGGGTACTTGTTACTTATTTTTACGCTTCCTGCCGACATAGGTCAGTTGGTTGATGCGCAATTCTACATGTAATTCTACTGACGTGAACCAGTCATCTGCTGTGATATTTCTGTTCGTATAGACGAAAGCATTGAGCAGGTAGTGGTGAGTCTTTGCATCATCAGTCCATACTTATTCGGTTTAGTTTTCTTGTAGGCACAGGAAGGACATCGGCCCACGAGCATCTCGTATTTTGTAGGGGACTCACCCGAAATATAACAATTTCGACAGTTCTCTATGAGTGTCTCGAAAATTTCACGTATTTGGAGAAATTTATCGGCATTTCTCGAGTCACAGGGTTATTATTTTCTAAATTGGTTGCCACGGACTTTAGTTCAGGTAAATGCGTAATAATCGAACAGTTTGCAGGCGCTCGTTTTGACCAATTGTACATGTTTTTTCCATAGGCATAGCGAGGTCGCCCATAGGAAGTTGTTCAGGTTGATCGATAGCAGCGTCGTCCTCGGCGTAGTCTATAGTGTATTGTTCATCCGTCAACAACGAAAAAATCCATTGTGAAGGAAGTTCAAATCGTACACGCAACTGACATCCTCGGATCAAATTTGACCGCAAAGTCAACAAACCAACAATTGTGATGTTTAAATTAAACTGTGGTTGAGGTATACGTGCTCATACCGTATGAGAAGTCACGGGACCCCCACCACATAACTGAGAAAGCTCGAATCATCCGACGATATCATTAAAGGATTAATTTCTATATTCTTGAACGAATCTATAAAATCAAAGTGGCTGGGTTTCAATTTACATAGCTCTTTGTATGGTCTTGTTTGCTGATCAACATTATATGATTTCTAGACATGTTCAATCTGTGCAGCTTCTTCACTTTCATATTAATGTCAATAAGAGCATTTCATCCATTTTTGAATAAATGTGGTTCATCACAAATTGTAGAAATACTCTGAGCATTGACTATAAAATGGAATGGACTTGATCCGTGAGTATTCTCCGAGCAAATCGTCTCAAGTGCGTTTTTGATCGTTGCGCCCTGATTAGAAATAGTGCCAACAACGCACAAACCAAGTCGCTGCTAGTTTGTGATCACATGAACAATAATCGTTTTCAGATCTGGGATTCTTGTATCTTTTACTAGATAATAAGCCACAACCTGCTTATAATTTTTACGAATCCCTCTTATCATGGAAGTAAGGGCATGATTTCTGATAATCACTTTTTCAGAGTTCTAGTTGATTTTGTTACCTCAGAATTCAAGATTTATTAGCTGAAAATTGTACACTGTGAGCACTGGGATCAGCCCTAAACTTTGTCCAAACCCTGCAATAATCGTAAACACTAAACAAGGGTAGACATATTTCTAGTTTAACTGCCTGAAGATTTTCTCTATGGTTAATACGTAACTCTCCACCTATTATCTCATTTTTGTACATGTTCTGGGAGAACTCAACTTGCTCCCTATAAAATGCAACGTCTTCCTGCACAGGTGGTTCTGGTTAAGTGCCAGCCTGCTTCGGGTTTGTAATTAGTTGTTGCAATTTTCTGATTTCGTCGTCCTTTTTCATAATCCAGATTTCGTTTTGGCATTCCAGTTCAGCCATTTGATCCTGAAGCTCTTTTATAGTAGAATCATTATGGCATCTGTATATCTGAGATTTTAAATGAGTGGTTGACCTCACGTTGGTTACTCTCGTCCATCAGACTCTTTACGTCATTTCTCAGTTTAGATTCAAGTTCTTTTAGGAAGCCAATTTCATCTTGCAGTTCAGCAATGTGTGACATCGTTACATCAGTTTGTTGCAGCAGCACTTAAAGAATGTTGCATATCTTCGTACTCAGCGTCAAGCATAGCTTCTAAGTCTGCAACCTTCTTTTTTGACTCAATATTTTGAGCTTCAAGAGATGGTTTAGGGCTCTCTGATCTTCCTAGGTTCTTCAGTTGAGTACGCAGCATCTCTATTTCTGACTCGTATGTTTTTAGTCTTTTTATTATTTTTTTCCAGAAAATCGAGTCTGTATTGCAAGTCGATGAAATTCTTGCGCTTTTTGAGAATTTTTTTGAACTCTTTCTATTTCTTCGTTGTACGCATCCGTTACTTGGCGGAGTTCCTGACTGTAACGATCGAATTTAGAATTGGCTTCTGTGAGCTGTTTCTTCAGGTCCAAAATCTCCAGCTGATTATCTAGTTTAGTGAATTCTCTAAGCTCATTGAAAGATTCTTCCAGTTCTTTGAGTTGTCTTTTAAGTACACTTGCACGTCTTCAGCTATCACAGATTCTGCTTCGGCTAGTGCCTCCTCATATGTCTCTTCTTGAATAGGCCTCATTCACGTCCGGATGATTCTTCTTTGGGTGGATAATTTTTCAATGGCATATACCCTAGGGATGCTTTTTAGGTGATACGTTGCCATAGTGTCCAAAAGTATGACGTCTTAATGTTTTTTTCGGTGTTGATGCCGAGGCTCCCATTTGAAAGCGCCCGACAATAGATACTTCCGTTTTTAGTCTTTCTATCTCGAGCAGATACTCTTGTTTGCTTTATCCATCTCTTTTAGCTTAATTGCCTGCTTTTTGAGCCGAGTTTCGAGATCGCGAGTCAAGTTCTGATATCCTTGAAGTGTCTCTTCTGTAGCTGACAAGATGTTTACTTTCGTTTTATTTTTGACAGTTTTAGTGCTTTGGGCGAATTCTGGTGTAGATCTAGTCTCCTCCTCTGCAGCTAAAGTAACATTCCCGATAATCAATGATTTGGCATTACCGCCAAGAGCCTGTGAGAGCAGTCTAGTCAATTTCGAATCGCGATAACTGATAAACTCCTTCCCCTCGCTTAGTTGCCTTATCACATTTCCTAATACTGACAAAGATTTGTTTATGTTAGCCCCCTCTTTAAGACGCTCACCAGCAGCTTTCGTCAGAGAAACTCTCTCAGAACCAGCTAAGTCCATTAAGTTAAGGTAGCTTATATGTACAGGTCCATCTTTCTGATGGCATCTTTCGACTCCAGAATAATCCGGAAAATCGTGTGTGATCGAGATGACCTCTCATTCATGCGAGTAGCTGCAACTCGTCTGATCTTATTGCCCTGCATCATGTTCTCCATAACTTTATCAACATTGTCTACGACAGCTTCCCTTGCATCAAGCAGCACATTTCCTTTGATATCTTCTCTATAGTTAAACCCTGATTGCTCTTATCCAGGAGGTCATTGATCTTTTCATTGTAGATTTCAATATAACTGCATCTAATCAAGTACCTCTTATCAACCTGGTCTGCCACATGCTGGAATAACTGATTGGATACTAATTGGAAAAGCCCAGGATCTGTTTTATTGCCCAAAATGGTGTGTGTTTTGCCAGAAGATGTTTGGCCATATGCAAATATTGTGGCATTGAAACCTTCCATGAAGGAATCGACTAAAGGTTTTACTACAGATCCATATACATCTGAATTTGTACATTCCTGATAAATACATGGTCGAATATATAAACCTCTCCATGGCGACTACTTTCATCGGCTTCCCATATGCAGTTTACTCTTACGTTCCAAAGACGCTCTAGACCATCGGCTACTTCGCGGTGGATCATTGGTCTGATCTTTGTGGCTACTTTAATATTGTTGGAAGTCATTTTGGAAGCTTGAACTGAAATTTAATTAGAACTAGGGCTATTTCACGGGTTATAAAGAGGGGCAGATGTATCAGGTTGATACATTCTTTTTTTCCTCCTTTCCAGTATAGAAGATTTTTTTCTCTTGTAGGCTATGATGCGGTCCGATAGTTTAGTAGAGCTACATTTACAGGGTGACTCAAAATCAAAGAAGAAACAGAATTGTTAAATTTCATATAGACTGTTATTGTTATTACAAAAGAAGTTGAAGCAGCAGCAAATTCTCACAAATCTATAGATCCATCACTTTCAGCACCCGATTTTTCACTTGAAAATGCAGCTCGGTGAAGAATCACAAGGTAACTGTTGTCTATTCAGACAATACTCTTCTAAAAGCACGCGAAGTTACCTAGTGCCTTACATGAATCGCCTTCATAATTCTTCATTATGTCAATGGAAAACTGAAATTGTTGATTATTACAGTTTTTAATGCTTCAAATAAACAGATGGTGTTCGTGTTGGAAATCCCACAGTCTAATCTCGCAAAACAGGTTATCCACCGGATCTTACTATCAACATCTGAAATGCCATTACTGTTTTTAGCCATGTGTACAACAGGTTTGTACGCATAAGACACTCTTACATGAAAACTGTTTATTGTCTAAAAACGAAAATACCCCATTGAAGATGAGTAATGCAATAAATATAATCCTCGAAACTTGAACTGTAATATGAACATAAAAAAACTAACAAAATGGGCCATTTAACAACATATTTGGTGTTGATATTCTACAACAAAAACAAATACTTTCTCGTATAAGGAAACATACAATAATTAACATTTATCACTTTTCACGAAACAATGTAAGTGCGCTGTGACTTTACATACTTATTACAGATTGTAGAACATTTTTTCATTGTGTATTGTCATGTAACACCTACGTCGTTTTTTTCTTTAACAACTGCATCAGGATCGAGAACTCTGGGCTGAGAAGTAGACGGCTTACTTTATTCGTCGTTGTAATTTAGGATTCTTGCATGGCTGAACGAAGCTCCCTAGGAAGTCTTGGATCTGATAAACGTCCTCTCATACGAAGTTAAATTAGAGTTTGCCTCAGGGGAACAATAAAATTTCGTCGCCTAATGGAACTTTCAGTCCCAGACTGAAAAAAAAAGGAATTTACAGAAGCTGGTTGGATACCAAATAGCACAAGGCCATCTTCTCGTTCTCTAACCAGTATTGTAATTTACACACTTCCGATCTAATGCATTACCCCCCCGCCTTCATAGTGTTATAAAAATAATATAGGATCTTATCAGGTTTCTTTGATTCCTCTACTATTTTGTTATCATGCTGCATAGATGCTATACGAGAACATGTGTATTTGGTTTTGGAAGATACTACTCTAAGGCTGTACAACATAAAACTTAGAAGTACCTGGCTGTGTTTCCTTCTTATTTGGAACTACATGTTGGGGTACTTGTTACTTATTTTTACGCTTCCTGCCGACATAGGTCAGTTGGTTGATGCGCAATTCTACATGTAATTCTACTGACGTGAACCAGTCATCTGCTGTGATATTTCTGTTCGTATAGACGAAGCATTGAGCAGGTAGTGGTGAGTCTTTGCATCATCAGTCCATACTTATTCGGTTTAGTTTTCTTGTAGGCACAGGAAGGACATCGGCCCACGAGCATCTCGTATTTTGTAGGGGACTCACCCGAAATATAACAATTTCGACAGTTCTCTATGAGTGTCTCGAAATTTCACGTATTGGAGAAATTTATCGGCATTTCTCGAGTCACAGGGTTATTATTTTCCAAATTGGTTGCCACGGACTTTAGTTCAGGTAAATGCGTAATAATCGACCAGTTGCAGGCGCTCGTTTTGACCAATTGTACATGTTTTTTCCATAGGCATAGCGAGGTCGCCCATAGGAAGTTGTTCAGGTTGATCGATAGCAGCGTCGTCCTCGGCGTAGTCTATAGTGTATTGTTCATCCGTCAACAACGAAAAAATCCATTGTGAAGGAAGTTCAAATCGTACACGCAACTGACATCCTCGGATCAAATTTGACCGCAAAGTCAACAAACCAACAATTGTGATGTTTAAATTAAACTGTGGTTTGAGGTATACGTGCTCATACCGTATGAGAAGTCACGGGACCCCACCACATAACTGAGAAAGCTCGAATCATCCGACGATATCATTAAAGGATTAATTCTATATTCTTGAACGAATCTATAAAATCAAAGTGGCTGGGTTTCAATTTACATAGCTCTTTGTATGGTCTTGTTTGCTGATCAACATTATATGATTTCTAGACATGTTCAATCTGTGCAGCTTCTTCACTTTCATATTAATGTCAATAAGAGCATTTCATCCATTTTTGAATAAATGTGGTTCATCACAAATTGTAGAAATACTCTGAGCATTGACTATAAAATGGAATGGACTTGATCCGTGAGTATTCTCCGAGCAAATGTCGTCTCAAGTGCGTTTTTGATCGTTGCGCCCTGATTAGAAATAGTGCCAACAACGCACAAACCAAGTCGCTGCTAGTTTGTGATCACATGAACAATAATCGTTTTCAGATCTGGGATTCTTGTATCTTTTACTAGATAATAAGCCACAACCTGCTTATAATTTTTACGAATCCCTCTTATCATGGAAGTAAGGCATGATTTCTGATAAATCACTTTTTCAGAGTTCTAGTTGATTTTGTTACCTCAGAATTCAAGATTTATTAGCTGAAAATTGTACACTGTGAGCACTGGGATCAGCCCTAAACTTTGTCCAAACCCTGCAATAATCGTAAACACTAAACAAGGGTAGACATATTTCTAGTTTAACTGCCTGAAGATTTTCTCTATGGTTTATACGTAACTCTCCACCTATTATCTCATTTTTGTACATGTTCTGGGAGAACTCAACTTGCTCCCTATAAAATGCAACGTCTTCCTGCACAGGTGGTTCTGGTTAAGTGCCAGCCTGCTTCGGGTTTGTAATTAGTTGTTGCAATTTTCTGATTTCGTCGTCCTTTTTCATAATCCAGATTTCGTTTTTGCATTCCAGTTCAGCCATTTGATCCTGAAGCTCTTTTATAGTAGAATCATTATGGCATCGTATATCTGAGATTTTAAATGAGTGGTTGACCTCACGTTGGTTACTCTCGTCCATCAGACTCTTTACGTCATTTCTCAGTTTAGATTCAAGTTCTTTTAGGAAGCCAATTTCATCTTGCAGTTCAGCAATGTGTGACATCGTTACATCAGTTTGTGCAGCAGCACTTAAAGAATGTTGCATATCTTCGTACTCAGCGTCAAGCATAGCTTCTAAGTCTGCAACCTTCTTTTTGACTCAATATTTTGAGCTTCAAGAGATGGTTTAGGGCTCTCTGATCTTCCTAGGTTCTTCAGTTGAGTACGCAGCATCTCTATTTCTGACTCGTATGTTTTTAGTCTTTTATTATTTTTTTCCAGAAAATCGAGTCTGTATTGCAAGTCGATGAAATTCTTGCGCTTTTTGAGAATTTTTTTTGAACTCTTTCTATTTCTTCGTTGTACGCATCCGTTACTTGGCGGAGTTCCTGACTGTAACGATCGAATTTAGAATTGGCTTCTGTGAGCTGTTTCTTCAGGTCCAAAATCTCCAGCTGATTATCTAGTTTAGTGAATTCTCTAAGCTCATTGAAAGATTCTTCCAGTTCTTTGAGTTGTCTTTTAAGTACACTTGCACGTCTTCAGCTATCACAGATTCTGCTTCGGCTAGTGCCTCCTCATATGTCTCTTCTTGAATAGGCCTCATTTCACGTCCGGATGATTCTTCTTTGGGTGGATAATTTTTCAATGGCATATACCCTAGGGATGCTTTTTTAGGTGATACGTTGCCATAGTGTCCAAAAGTATGACGTCTTAATGTTTTTTTCGGTGTTGATGCCGAGGCTCCCATTTGAAAGCGCCCGACAATAGATACTTCCGTTTTTAGTCTTTCTATCTCGAGCAGATACTCTTGTTTGCTTTTATCCATCTCTTTTAGCTTAATTGCCTGCTTTTGAGCCGAGTTTCGAGATCGCGAGTCAAGTTCTGATATCCTTGAAGTGTCTCTTCTGTAGCTGACAAGATGTTACTTTCGTTTTATTTTTGACAGTTTTAGTGCTTTGGCGAATTCTGGTGTAGATCTAGTCTCCTCCTCTGCAGCTAAAGTAACATTCCCGATAATCAATGATTTGGCATTACCGCCAAGAGCCTGTGAGAGCAGTCTAGTCAATTTCGAATCGCGATAACTGATAAACTCCTTCCCCTCGCTTAGTTGCCTTATCACATTCCTAATACTGACA